AACCAGAACTGTCCCTTTTTAGAGTCACCTCTCAATGATCCTACCTTCTGTATGTCCTAATGCTGCATTTTAGTCTTTATTCTGACATCGAAAGTGCGCTTTAAGTGTGTAACGTGGAGTAATCAAAATGGCGGCTACCTTTTGCTGGAGGAGACAGGGATAGGGGGTACCTTCGCAAACTGACATACGTATCGAACGCACAAATGTAATCTTATAGAAACACACATGTACACACAAACGGGCACATAGCGTTTGGGAATAAGACAAATTGGAAGTAACGGGAGAGCGACTCCCGGAGCTGCATCGACAGAGGATGGCCGAGTGCGAATTCTGTGTGTAAAGCCTGATGGCCTAAACGGTTGACTGAACTTCACTCCGATAGGGCAAGGACCTTTTTAAGGGCGTATGTGGTACATTTCGCACAAATATTCGGAGTCGATGCCTTTGATCCTCTGCGAAAAGCAAGCCAACAAAGCTGCTGTTATATCATAGAGTATCATAGAAAAGCTGCGTGAGCTGGTGAGTGGACTCATGTAAATTGTCGGGAAGATTACATTTCTAAAGAGAGCTTTATTGTCAAGTCCCGCCTAAAATTGACTATGTACCACTAAATGTATTAAGTGTGAATAATTGAAAATATATTAAAGAATGTGTTTGTAAAAAAACAATTGAGTAATCTAGAAAGCATCGTAGCATCAATCTGACTACGGAACAATAATTTAACACTTCGTAGAGATCCACCGAAATCATCGGTTTCCCGATACGTCAGCGTCCTAGGCAGACTTGCTCTCGTAATGTCAAAGGTTAGAAGCTGGATTTTATGTGCCCTGAGGGACATACAGAAGAGGTGCGAAAAGAGCCGAAGCCCCTCCGATTACTTCACCGGAGGGGCTTCGGCTCGTAATGGCTCCGGTGCTCGACGGTTTTCAAGGCCTGACCCATAGGTAAAAATCAGCTTTGAATTGAAGTTCATTAATTTTGATAGTTTCGCGATGAAAGGAATTTGCATGTTACCGCTTCCTATCTTACTGATGGCATCCTACTTCTGAAGTTTCAAACCGCATTTATTATCCTCTTATCGATCTGCCAATTTTTGGAGAAGGCTTTCGAGGCGACTTTGCTGCAAAGCCCGCCTGTTGCTCATCTGGCGATAAGATTCCAGCGGGGCAAAACATTACTTGTCGTGAAGCTCAATCGACTGTAGTCCGGCGCAAAGCTAACATGGTGCGAGGTAACAAGTGAGTTCAACTTTTCCGTAACGAAATGGACCCAGAAATCAGTGAACGCTGCCTGCGTAAACAAACTTCAAATGATGGTAATCAAAGCCAACCGAACAGTCGACAAGTACGCGTTGTGACGCCGGTCGTCAAGAGCTAAAATACAAACCAAAGATGCAGAGCAAGTCGCGATACGGCTGCTGTTATCGTCACTTCACAAGACCGAGCGAACAGACGGACGAACAGGCAAGATCGAGAAATCAAGACAAAGAAACTGGAATAATCTACGGGGCAGCGATCGAAGGAACGATGGCAGCGGGTGACGAAGACCGGGCAGCGTTCCGATGTTAGGCTGACCGACAACGAAGCTTCACATGATTTGGCAGCTTAGGACCCGCAAACCAGCCTTCACATGAGTCTACTTTAGCAACGAGTCGTTGACAGAATCAGAACGGAGGTAAAGGCAGAAAACTATTGATGTCAGAAAGAAAACGAATATCTTTTTGCTCAAAGATTTACAAATCGCGACAAACTCCTATGTGAGCCATTACTAGATGGCACGGAGCATCGTCATCGACCGCTACGCACGTTTTTCACCGCGATGTACGACGTTATACATCGAAACTCTGAAACCCATATTTCTCTCCGGCTCCTATCAATATCACATGATCCCTACTGCTTGACCCTTATGCGTATGCGTATGCCAATAGTACCCTGAATGGAACCAACCGAAATAAAGCAGCTAACAAATACAATACGATGGCTGCAAAATGAAATAACAAAAAAAAACAACAACAAACAAAAAAGAGTTAGCAAAAAATATTTAAGTGACGACAGCGTTAGTCATATTAATAACGATTTGTGTTTTTGATTTCCAGAGATACGGCTTTATCGATATTTCGATCGATGCAGAGCATCGTGTTAGGAAGAGGCTGCGGAAGTAGTGTTATGTGAACTTTCTAGCTGGTAAGACGATTTTATATGTCTGAGGGGCAGAAAACAAACAATTCAAATAAAAAATGCCCTTTATCATCCGCTGATCGTGCCACCTTTTGCATAGCGGAATCTCTGGCCACACAAAGCATACAATACAGTTTAGGTGTTTAAAGAGACCACTTTTTTGTTAGCCATCTCGCTAACCATTATTATTATTTTCCAAGCCTGCGAATCCTATAGTGTCGGTCGCTGTACATTTAACGTATATGCAGGAATATCTAATCTCTGTGGGCGGTCGGCTCGCGCAGTAACAGATGAAGGCTGGAAGCGGCGGTGAGCACAATTCGATGCGATACGATATAAGTCGAAGCGATGGCCATGGCAGAACATGGTGCCGATCGCGCACAGGCTGCCGGACGGCACAGCGGAGCGGCAACATGGCGGCATTGGACGTCCACATCAACCGAAGCGGAGCGCCCAATCGTTGTGGTTTCGACTAGCAATAGACTATGAAGAAGGGGGGGGGGAGGGGGGCAAGATTGGAAGGAGGCAATGGGGTATGATAGGGGTTTGGGGAGGTCAGAATGATGCCTCAACGGAACTGTACCATGCACAATAGTAGAACAGTGGCAGAAACAGGAGAATTCAGCGGGTGAAGTTCGGCGCAGCGTGATGCACGCCAGCCAGGCGTGCCACCCGCAAGGCCATCTATGGCTATCGTGTCCACTACCGCTTGCTGCACTTGCGCACTCTACTACCAGTCAGTCTATTTTTGTTTCTAATGCCGGCCGATGCTGCTAGTTCCTGACGGATTCCAAGAGCCGCTTGGCTGACTATTGTAGCTTGTGGCGCGCGACCGACTTATCGCAGCGAAACGAATGGGCTTGACGTAGTACGTCTGCGCTGACGGAGCGGACAGCGCTCGTGGCTCTTATGTGTAGAAACAAGGGGGAAAAAAGATAGGGGTCACACTTAGGCGAAGCGACGCGCTACTCCATTGATGCCTTTCCATATTTCCTAACAGTACCACCCCGATACGGTTGATCAGTCTTATTCGGCAATGCTGGACCTTTATAGTATTTTAGTTTGCAAAACGTGCAACTCCTACATCTTTAACGGATCGTCGCCATGCAACGGGTAAGCAACGAACGGCAAACTGAATATCATGCTTGGCATAAGCGGATATGTTTGTGGTCTTTGTGTAACAATAAGTAAAGGAAACCGTATAATCGGAGATCGTAAAAAATCTAGCTAAAAATTACAACTGTCTCTTGTCTATTTTTGAGCCGATCGACACGCTTATAGGTTAGCGGACGATATTTCCACTGAACAGAAGCATACTATTGAAACAGGCTACGAATCATCGTTGTGAAGCATCTCAAAGCGGCGGTCGATTGCAGACTTTCCTCACGTGTCTATGGCACCGTCGGAATCATTAGTTCTGATTAAAGTAACCGTCTAATGATCGTTTGTTTTTTTGGTAAAAGCGAAGAGCTTTTTCATCGGGTGTCAACTTCTACCTCCGTCGACGATTCGACCAATCAGCCTGCTTCGAAATCACGTTGTTTTGACTATCCTTCCAACGCGGTTGCTTCTGCTGCTGCTGCTGCTGCTGCTGCTGCTGCCGGCGGTTTCCTCCCAAGGTCAGCCATTATTCAGCTGCATAGCAACTTACTACTGACTGTCGCTACCGCTACTAGTACCCCTATAGCCGATGGACACACTGACGGTATCTTCTACGTATGTATACATGCATACGTCTATATCTAGACGTTTCATGTCGGCTGGTCATGCTCGCTGTGCATCATCTGGCGCTAGCATGAATGGGCAGTGGCAGTCATTTGAACAAGGCAAAGCTCTGATGGTAGCGACTTTTCGTTGACGTTCGTTTAATTTTTGCCGTTGCATAGTTTCGTTCTGCTGTCGTCATTTTGCATCGCTTGCAGAGCGGCGGGTTCCCGATTGTCGCGTACATCGGGCCATCTGTTGTATTTCGAAGTTAGCTATTGATTCGAAACTTGTAAAAGGCTAGAAATTCTGTAAATCGAGCGAAGGATTCGTTTCTTAGCAGTCTCCTCTTTGCGCAAATTATGGATGTTTCGCCGTTTCGTCTTACCTCCACTGTTTCTTACTGCTGTCGTCGTTACTGATACTTCCTTTGCCCCTGTGCACGTCGAACGCACTCCACCGCAAGATAACTAGAAACACTAGTCAGCGGCAAAATGCTGATGATGTTTGTTAGTAATAAGCCAAGAGCAAATGAACGGACAGAATGCTGCCAGTGTCCCTTCTGCTGCTACAGTGGCAACTACCTCCGTCGGAGTGCTGCGAGGGCCTTCCTAGCGCGACTGGCTTAGCTATAACCGACCGACCGTGCTGCTGCTGCTGCTGCTGCTGCCATGAGTACAGCCAGTTCATTGGGCTACTACAGGTCGCCGTAGGACCACTGCAGATTGCTGTTGCTACTGCCTGCTACCGCTGTTGCTGCGTTGCCTCTCCTAGAACCGCGGTGCCAACGGTATCCGCTGCTGTGGTGATGACCGCCGCTTCGTTTATGGCAGCAACAGCAGCGGCAGCGGCGACGGCGGCAAGGCAGCGACAAGCTTCCAGTAAACGGACTGGTGATGGTGGTCGCCGGCGACTGCGCTGAGCACCGCCGCTCGCTGTATCTATCGCTCTCGCTTTGCTTTTGCCGTCGCCGTTGTTGCTGTCGTCGGTAGCGTTGCCGTCGCAGCGGCGCCATCAGCAGCAAGCAGCCATCCGACGCGGTGGCGCTGCTAGGGCTATGAACGGACGCCAGTAGTTAGTCGGTGAGCGCCGGTCGTAGGGTGAACATCGTGCGCAACAGTCCGTGCTCCAATAGCGAGTAAGGGATACACGCGGCAGTGGAAGTAGCCTACGAAAAGTAGAGTTTTCTCAAAAGAATAACAACAATGTTAAAGACATCGTACCGAGATAGACGGACAAGCACATGCTAGTACATCTGTCAGAACGAGCAAAGGTGAACGGGTTGACTGCCCGGCCACTTGTCGAATTGAATCCGCAGCGTTTAAGCAACAAACTGGGAGAGAGCATTGCAGGTTGTGGTGCAATAGGGCATACAGGAGAAGCACGACACTTTTGCTAATAGATTGCAGTTATTTTTGAAGTCCTTTAAGAACGTGGAAGAGCCTCTTCGTCCGTGACCGAAGACCGAAGCGGGCCCCGACTAAATCGCAGGTGCCCCGATACGCATATCAGCGAAATCATCGAACCCACAATCTCGATAAGACTTCGACTCACACGGAAAAGTACTTTTCGTTAACGTGTCGTTTATATTAAGTGGCTGATGTTCATATCGTGCTTGGTGTAGTTATGTTCGTCCATCCGTCCGCCCGTCTTCAAGAGAGAAGTCTTTAACGATGTAGATCAACGAGTTCGGCACTTTTAGACAGGAACGACAGAAGGCGGGAATGGAAGTCAATGTAAATTGTAACCGTGAATTAGCGCTTCCTTATTTGCCGTCAAAAAGCAACAAATCAGAGTGTTTTTTCGAACGTGCGCGACGGTAATCGACAGACGTGCATGTAATAACATTCAGTCGCAGCATTAATTGGCTTACAAGTTTTTTACAAGTGAAGCACACACACGGGGAGAAAAAGGAAACAGTATAGTAGAGAAATTCTACTGAATTTCGATCGATCCTCTGATGAAAAAAAAAGGATTAATAAAGGGCAATTACTGCAACCTGAGATCTTGAACGCCTTGTTAGTGCGTGCAGACAGAATCAAGGAATAGTGCGTGTGGATTTCTCTTGCATTGTGTAGACACTACCCGAAAGCCTTTCGTAAGAAGTCTACCTTATCAGCCAGGCTTCGTACGTCACTCCTCCTACAAAGAACAGCACTGAATTTTAATTAAGCTCAACGCCGCCGCAACTTAGCGTTATGGCCGAAACCAGGATACAGGTGGTAGGTGTCTAAAGTGTTCGCAATAATGTCCCATGAGCATAGGATATTTTACTGCCCGCCACACTTTGGACACTATATATATATATATATATGTGTGTGTATTAGGAAGTCATACAAGATATTTATCCGCTTTTCAATAAGGGCGGAAACTAATTCTGAACGACACGTGTACACGTTTCTCTTAGACGGATTGATTTTGAGCCTCTGACATAAGCTCGAAGTTCTAATACAATGGTAGAGTGTTTTTTTCCCAAAGAATCCGGAAGATTCGACTGTAGGTACCCAGATGGTTAAGTGCAAAGTATTCAGAAAGAGATTCACGAAGCAAAGCAGTGTAGAGATAGTTGCCTTAGTAACTCTAGCTGGGACCGACTGATCTGTATGTCTGGTCCTTTGTCCCAACTTTGCTGCAATGCTTCCCTCGCACACCGTTCCTTATTCAAACAAGAAAGACTTATTCTCAAAATTTCCTGCTTCTGGGCCTTGAGCTATCGGTAGGCTGCCAGTATGTCGGTTCGACGTCCTGTCTGTTGGCTGTCTAAAAGATATACGAGCCGACCCTGCCCCCTTGTCGGGAAGTGTTAAGCCCATCTGCATAGAGATGTATACACACAGAGTGTACCGTACACGAGATACCAGATAGGCAAGCTCTGTACGTATTACTGCCTCTGATATTGAACAACGCCTTGCCCGTAGCACCATTTCACTGCGGCATTGCAAAAACTATTACCGACTCGAATCAATTATAACAATGCGCTGGCAAAACTAGTAGGCAAAAAAATCCAATGCGACATGTCCAAAAATTATCGGCCGATTGACTTTAGGCTTACTTTCAGCTGTAATGCGTATATGTATATCGGTCGCATTGTTATGTGACAGTCGGTCGTTGGGCTTCCCGAAGATTTCAGCCCATTTTTTCTCCTAATATAAAATCTGGCCCAATTATAGTTGTGTGCGGCGTTCTTGTTGGTACTCTTATTCATTTTAACGCGCGCGCCTGCAGCTTGTTCCATCGTACTATACCGTTCATCTGCCAACCATTCCACTATAATAATAACATTAAGAATGTTCGTCTAAAGTTTTTGTAAATTCCCTCAGAGCAAAAGAAGCATAAATCTAGTTGGTCGCAGTAGATGTGGCCAGCAGCCCAGTTGGAACCCGCGTCGTGCTCGCCTAACTAGGATACATGAACAACATAAACAGTATTGAGAGTAGACATTTTGAATTGTGTTTTTTCTGTGTTTCTATGATGGATAGAGTAATGGGGTATCCGTTCCAGTCATTTGTTGTTGTCGCCGTTGTAACTGTGTCTCTGCGTGGAGCTAAACGCAACACGGTCATGTACAGAACGAACGAAAACAAATTCTAAAAGGAGCTAATATAGCGAAGAGAGACTGAAACCAACGAGTAACCAATAATAACAACAATAACATTAAAGAACAATACATACAGCGTCGGCAAACAATCGGCTGGTTTCCTCTGAATCATTCAACGCCGTCGTACCTTCCACCAGAGATCAAATAGAAGGTATAGATTTGCATGACCAAAGCTTTGCAGCCCCGTATGAAGCAAGCGTGGGAAGCGTTGCAGCGAAATTTACGCGTCCATATACAAGCATACTTACGCGATTCTTAAGTATGTTGCCGGTAAGGTTATTGATTTGAATATTGTAGCAAGCTAGCTTAAGATACGAAGCTTTTTCAATCGGCCAAAAAAAGATAACTTTGGTATCTCACAATGCCGCCGTCGAGCAGAGAACAGGGGTGGTCGTGAAATGATACAATCATCGTAGCAGACCATAGCAGAAGTATTATCGACACGTATCTTGGCTATAGCGCTGTGGAGAGTCTACATCAGGTGGATATCGCCGAGGGATAGATTTTTACCGATAAATAAAAATCACTCTCGCACAATTTTTCCGCCCAGAACCTTTTTCATATCAGCCAAAAAGGTCAACGTATTTTATAGATTAGATTCATGGAATAGACATTGACATAATGTTACGTTACTACCAATAAAAGAAGCTTAAGGACAGGACGTTGTCTCAACATGGGCAAGGTGGCAAGTAAAGTTTTCTGTTAAACCCATTCCTGTATATGCGCGCCTGGATAACCTTGAGAATTACACAATTGGCTCTGGCCATTTTTAGTAAGTTAACTTGATCGGACTCGAAAATTCTCTATTGGCCCGAATAACTATTACGATAGATTCATGGTAACTAAGGTATGTCTGGTAAGCAATAGCGGGTCGACTACGTGCCAGTCCTAATCAATGTTTGCGTCATGTCTGTTTGTATGACTCTCTACCGTTAGCAGGTAAGCGCACACTCATTCAATTACTGCCATTGGAGCTGGGTATTTTGTTTGAACGAAGACAGCGTATCTAACCAACGTGCGTGATTTTTTTATAACAGCAGACGCCGTTGACTCCTGTTCTTGTTGTTGCTTCAGCTGCTACCACTATCACTAGCTGGGAATTTTTTCCGCTCACTGGATGGACACTAGCAGACGATCGCTGCTTTCTGACTGATGATCAGTAGTAGGGTGCGACTAACCTGACACAAAAACGTACAGCCATAGGTATACAATTATATATACAGATAGGCATGGTCTTTCTATAGTTCATGTCGTCGCCCCGTTGCGCTTTAGCCGTGTTGGCTGGTATTGGCCTATTGGTATCGCGTTATGATCTGTGTGCATCCACTCTTCACCAATCGATTGATGAACGATAAATAATAGAATAGTCGACAGTTTTGCCGCTGCTGCTATTGTTTGCTATATCCGTAGCAGTCCCAATGCTGCCAGCTAGAGACCAACGGCCGATCGGGAGAGAAGACAGGCGTTGCATGTCGCGGACTCTTACGATAGCTGCTTGGTTTAGCAGCCTTTTATGAATCTGATCTGTCTCTGATCGTGACAGCTCTGTCCGCCGTTCTCGATTAGCTGCATGACGGTGGCGTGGCATCGTGTCCAGTCGGGTGCGCCCGTTGCCATTGCTGATGATGCTGTTACGGCTGACGATTCAGAGGTGGGGCCGTACATGGCTGCGCGCGTCGAGGACACTCATTTTGGTGGCGACATCACGGCTGCACGTACTAGCTGACGAACTGCCTAAGGTATAGTGCTTGACCCGCTGACAACTCCGGCAAGCAGCGTTAACCACTCTTAAGTGGTGGACACGCTGCCGGTGAGCGCAGGGAAAGAGGGCAGCTAGGGACTCTACTACTTTAGGGGGGATGACGTGGGGGTACGGTACTTCAGGGGGGACTACTGCACTCGATCTCACGACCCAGTGTAAAGAATCTCCGTATTCCTTGACCATTATTAGAAACTCGCGTTACATCATATCATGGCTCCCAGCTTCGTATATCGATATAAACACTGAGCGACAACAGCCAACTATATATTATACATAGGGTAAACTTGATTTGGAACTTTAAAAATCCTAGCCAAGTATGTAAAAACAGCAATTAGCGGCCAATATAACTTTCCATTAAAGTGTGTGAGAACGGGGCGATATATTCGTACCCTGAGGGTACTGCGGGAGGCCGTAATCGACACATAACTTATCACTGGCAGTCAGAGCTCTGTTAGGTACGTAAGCCATATTCTGCCGGCTGGGTGACATAGCAGGCAGTAATTAAAATAGGAAACTCCACCGTTCCCCAGGAACTTGAACGACAGACGAAAATATCGAACGGCCATTACGCACGAGACCTTCCGTACCAGCAATAGAAATGAAAATCCTAATAGAAGAAAAAAGTCAGGTCATTGACACTTTAAAAGACATTCAAAGTATTACATACATTGACATATCGATCGTAAGCGAAAAGGCAATTACCAGCCCTGAGGGGGCGAGGGGTAACCGATTCAACCAATAAATGAATGGTACTATAATAGCTAACGATAGGTTCTATTGACACTACGTGCATTGGGTCGTGGAAGCTATTAACGGTTGAGTCATAAAGCGTGATGTTATCATACCGGATCTGCTGCCATCACCAAACTACTCTATCTAACTGGACTGTCAAAAACCTATCTTCAAGAGTATGTTCGAATCGAAGTTGAAATGAAGTTAGAATCCTTCAGAGGTAAGAACCGTTGACCATTCAAGCATTTCTAGATAATAAACCCACTTAAAATCGCATAGGCATTGATTCTATGCGCCTTAGTATTCTCGATCGTTCATGCCTTAATTTAATGTCGCTGACATAACCCTAAGCACCAATGATGGCTACCCGAATAAAACCAGTAGAAGTGGCTCAAATTCGTATGATATTCTGTAACGCCCACTCTGCTGTTCTGTAGTTTCAACAGCGAAAAGAAAAGCCAGTTATAGCGGTCTTCAGTTTCCAGAAAAAGAATAGGTTTAAACGAAGATAATAACGGCAACAGTTAATATCTGTTCAGCCTACGACGGACACAAACACAAACACAAGCGCATGACGATAGTTCTGTTCGTTATGTACGTACATGTACATGCAGCGTTCATGATAATGCTATGATTAAGGACGAATTATACTATTGTCTGCTAGATAATATTATCGCTGCTGATCTTATGGATATTACTAAGCTGATTTTGATTGATATTAGAGATAAAAAATGTTGTTGTTGTTGCTGAACAGTCCGTCGCCGAGACGACGGCTACCGATTGGGACGCGAGCGTTTCGCCTAACTTCGAATTTATCAACGGTATTAAACTTTGTTATTGTAGGGCAGTGGCAGATATGTAGACGCGGTTGTCTTCAGTCTTAATTGCTCAGCTTCGTTTCGGTAAGGCATTGGAACATCGGTACGGTGTACCGAATCGAAGACGTCAGTTCATCTTCATTTGTCGATTTGAAGGCTCAGCTGAAGACAATTAAATTCCGAGGTCCTGGTCCTGCTAACAATAGCAGTCAGTGACGATAAACAGGTGATATGAAAGTAATCCAGAAGTGTAATATACGAAACATCTCGTTGTTCTTCATTGTCGTTGAATGTTCTTTTCGAGCGTTACTT